CTGCTCATCAGCTTTTTTCCCTGTCATCTGGTTTATAGATTTTCTTTATCATTTTTTATTCATTTGCAGACAAAATTATTGTTGAACCTGGTTAAAAACAGTTCAACTTGCTTAAATTACTGTAAGGTACTTTAAAAGCACAAAGACATGCGCTGAACCTACAGATCCTTCATCACCAATTTAGCATCCCTGGAAAGTAGCCATGTAGTCTCTGATTAAAAACCACTAACCAGGCAGAAGCTCCTGTATAGCTTCAACAATTAGAAATTCTTCCAAATAGTTGCTATGGAGCTGGACACACCTAAATTATGGGGACAAAACTTGGGTGGGTGATTTCTTTGAATTTCTCCAGAGGAAGAAGAAACTGGCCAACAATTTCCTAAGGGTACAATTCCCCCTCAATGGCAGCAATAGCACCCCCACTGAAAAAGCCCACAGAGAAGAGCTCCTTCCTTGGATTTAATGGAAAAATGGGAAGTCAGGAAGTCTGGAGGAGTGATCATGACACTTCCCTAGGCCACTTCTTCATAAAATAAATGCAGGAACATCAAATGTCACTCACAAGAATGCCTCTGAAATCATCTTTTCCTTAGAAAGACTTTCTAGAGCAAATTCTTTTTCATCCAATTGAATAAGAACTGGTAGGAAATAATGCAGGAAATTTTCTATGCCAAGCACTAATGTAATTGGGATCCTTTGTCCTGGTATTTGAATGTGTCTTATCTCTGAAGTAGCTGAAAACCAATTTGCTTTATCATCTCTACAAAATCCCTTCTGATGTTGAATGACTATCCGCCAACCATTTAATCTTCTCTCTACCAGGCTAAAACACCCAACTGGATTTGAGAGGAACTGTACTGAACAATTCATCATTTAGAAACATAGAAAGCTAATACTAAAGCAGGCCTCATTGATTGATGGTGGCCAGTTTAAACTGGATTTTTTTCCAGACATATCTGGAAATGATGAGGATTGAACTCAGGACCTTCTTCATGCAAAGCATGTGCTCTATAGTATGAAGTTTCAATCTGAAGGTAAATCAAATTATCGAATGGACTTGATGCATTGTATCAACATTTGGGTGTGGTTGCTATGTTTTATTTATTTATTGACTGTATTTAATTTAAACTTGATCTTAGCCTGTTTAATTTAAACTTCTGTCCTGCCTGTTTATAGGTAGCCACACTCCAAAGACTTATGCTTTGTGGGTGGGTGTCCCTCTGAGTCAGTGTTGACTCCTGGCAACTGCCTGGACTAGTCCCTGCAGCTTTCTTGGCAAGATTGGAAGTGGTGTGCCATTGCCTGCTTCCTAGGACTGAGAGAGAGTGACTGGCCCAAGGTCACCCAGCTGGCTTTGTGCCTAAGGCATGACTAGAGCTCACTGTCTCCCAGTTTCTAGCCTGGTGCTTGAACCATTACACCAAACTGGCTCTCTTATAGTGGTTTACAATGCTTTAATTAAAATCAGATCAGAACATAAGGCGATGTAATAAAATATCAACACCAAAATACATAAATGCAGTAATAACTGCAATTACTTGGTGTCCCTCCCCCAGTCACTGTCTTAAAGACTGAAAGTTTTATGAAACAATTTGGTTTTAGCATTTTCCAAAAGTTAGGAGAAAGAGAAACATACAAATTTAATAGTGCATATATACTATTAGGAAGTTTTGAAAATAACAATTTGTTAACAGAGATTCAGGTTTCCATTTTTCCCATAAACTGCCAAGATTTAAACCAAATCTTACATTCAGGCTGTATTCAAGGTACTATCTTGAGTAATATATGAAGCCACCTATTTGGGAAGAAAATGAATGAAGATGACAGATGAATGCATTCCTAAGACATTGATGGCTGCAGTAACTAGACATTTTAAAGGATTCTCATAAGAGAGGACATCACCTTTAAAAATCCTATGTTCTTTTATAGCTGGACAGCAACAAATTTTGCAGCCAGCAGGCTGGTACTACTTGTAATAAATAGTAGCTACTTGTAATAAGCACCAGAATACTTTGAAGGAAACAAGAAGTGATAGGAGCAGAGTTTGCAAAATATAATATAACCATAATTTTTAAAAAGTGGCAGGATTGAGATATCTGAAATATCCTCTGGTTAATATATTGTTTTCTTAGAATTCTTAACTAGAAAATGTACTCCTATCATTTCCAAATACTTGTTCAAACTTCTAGAGGCCACTCAGAAATTCACTGTAAGTATTGACAGTGTCTTCTTATACATTTTCTCAGAAATAAGCCCTGTGGAATCCTGTTGCTATAACTCACATGTAAATGTATATAGGATTGACGCCTGAAATGGGATAAGTCCAATTATGCTCAGTGGGACTTACCTCTAAGCAGACATGTGTAAGACTATGTTGTAAGAACCCTCTTTATAAACAAATAGCACACTTTCTTCCCAACTGGCATTTTTAACAAATATTTATTGATGTAATTATTTTTTGACAAATCTATGCCCACATACCGTTGGTATGCCAGCTCATAGCAGTTTACACTACAACAATAAACAACATTAATCATAATAAAATGTTGATTTTTCTGGTGTGAAAATGCGACGAGTCTTTAACCTTTTTGAGACAAGCCATCCTAATTTTTATAAATGAAATATGGCTTTCCATGGTGCAAAGTCTGGCACATTTATAACGTGGCAAGAGACAGTGAGCAAAACATACATACGCATCCTAGGTCATGACTTGGCAGGGGCCTGGTATTGCTTGGCCAGGAATTGGACAAAATTCAAACCTAGAGACAGATTTCCTTTGAAACCCACAGCTGAGGCTCAGGAAATGGAATTTGAAACAGTGCTCTTCCACTAGGTTTTCACACTTCACTGGTTTTGTTTTAGTTAACAGCTCACCTAATCCAAGCATTTTATGGTTTCTCCCTCCCCCAGTTTAGGAAATGGCGTGGTTCATTTATCTTTATTTTTATTTATTTTAGATCCTTATTACCACACTCTTCAGTTTGTAAGAGCTTGTGGAGCAGCTTAGAACAAAATCAATAGAAGCAGTACAAAGTCGTCAAACCAGTTAAAAGCAGAGCAGATAAACAGTGCAGCTGGGAAGCAGTTCTAAAAACTGTGCTCTTACGAATCTAAGGGAGTAAAAAATAAAGTTTTCATCTGGAATAAAACAGAAGGATGAGCTGGAGTTGTGCCAGTTTCCCTAGAGGGAGAATCCCAGGCCCTGTATCTGCCCAGTCATCTACTTCCTTTGAGAATGGAATGGGGGGGCAGTGGGGGGGGCTTTATATATGGGTCTCTATGAATGATCCCCAAACCAGAAACACGACGCTAATTTGCTCCTTTAGTAGCTACTGGATATCACAAGGTTAGGTGATCATTCAAGGAAGCACTGTAGAAAAAGTCATGCTATGAATATTTAAGACCATTTTGTTAAAAAAAAAAAAAAAGTGTTGGCCACTACATACAATGAACACTCAAAGAAATAATCCTGTCCAGTGAATTTTTCTACGTATGAGAAATACCGCACTCCCAACTTGAAGTAGGTAGATTTTACCTCAACTACCCTTCCTTCCATACCATGTGACCCAATTAGGGTCTAGCCCTACTAAATATATGTATGAGCAATTGATCCATTTGCTAACACCTGCTTATTGTGGTGTTTCTGAAAATTGTCAAGGAATGCTTCAGTATCAGTTGGGTCCATCCTGCAGTGTACAGCTGTGTATTCAAGTGCTATTTTGCCAAGAAGTTATTATCAAAATTAAAACATAAAAAACAAGTTATTACCATTACGACAGGTAAAATGGGGTGGGTACTCAACAGAGCAAATAAATTTATAATTCTGCGGGGAAGGCAGTCCAGTACTTTGCAGAACAGAATGCCACATGCATGAAACCTCAGATTGCAATGCAATTGCTGCATTATTGTTCAAAATAACACTGCAAGTCCACTAACGAAAATTGGCCAATGTGATGAAGCAACCTCAGGGGCTACTATGTTTCTAGGCCCAGTTCAGAATATAGCGATTTGTCTTTAAAGCCCTGAAAAGCCAAAATCATGCTTGCCTGGCCATTTTGGTGATTTTCAGAGGTCTTCCTTTAGGTGCCACCATCAAATGAAGAGAAATGAGTTGTTACATGGGGGAAGAGGGCCTCTCAGGTATTTATTTCTTTATTACAAAAGTTGGTATTTTGCCCCATTCTATCAATTCCAGAAGTTCACATATATTCCATGCAGCTAAAGTGCAACTAAAATCAGAAATAAGGACAAATTTACTTAAGACTGAGAAAAACTGAAAAGGGCCAGCACAACATTAACACTGACATTAACCTTAACAGATAACTTTATAAAAGACTAGAAACCCTGTATGGACTGCTGAAAATGGATAAAAATAATCTCTGAATTTACTGATTGAAAAGGGCTATATATGGGAAGAAGAGAACTATGTTATGTAATTTGGGAGGGTGGAAACTATTAATTATGCTTGTAACTGCTGCAAAGAAGATCAGAAGTCATTTCTTTAAATATTTCTCCTTCCTTCCTTCCTTCCTTCCTTCCTTCCTTCCTTCCTTCCTTCCTTCCTTCCTTCCTTCCTTCCTTCCTTCTCTTTCTTTCTCTTTTCTTGATCTATACCAGTGTTTCTCAACCTTGGCAAGCTTAAGATGTGTGGCCTTCACACATCTTAAACTTGCCAAGGTTGAGAAACACTGATCTATACTGTTGTTTACTTTTTCTTCTATCTTTCCTATTCTTGTTATATCCTTTTCTCTTTTCTATATTCTTTTTAATTTTTCTGCAGCCATTAACTTTGTACAAAAAGATTCTTCAATTAAAAAAAAATCATACATACATACATAAAACATTAACCTTAACAGCCAGTTTGGTGTACTGGTTAACATGCTTGCACTGGCAGGCTGGGGGACCCGGGTTTAAGTCTACTCTCAGCCATGGAAGCTGATTGGATAATTTCAAGCCAGCCTTCTTCCCTTAACTCAACCTGTCTCATTGGGTTATTATAGTTGGGAAGAAGAAGAAGAATGGCTATGTATCCTGCTTTGACCTCCTGAAGGAAAGGTAGGATATTTTAATACATGAACAAATAAATAGCAAATATTCAGCCAAAAAGCCCTTGTGGAACATCGTCAGCATTGTTTTTGTTTTTAACATTCTTCTCACTAGCATTTCTACAGGTTTTTTTTTCTTATTAAATACCCACTTTATATTTGGACTGTGACCCTTACATTTTTATAGCATCTTTTCTGGGCTGCTTATTAATGCCTTTTATTGCTTTTCTTGTTATATTACTATTACAGCAATTGGGTGACTATTGGATAGATTAGGAGTATGCTAATTAACTAACAGAATAAAAGAAGCCAGAAGAGAAGTTAGATTTTCATATCAGTATTAACTCATTGCCCAAATAAACCAATTTGCCATTTTTGGTTGCAACACAGTTTCAAAACAAGGAAATTGAACTGTTCACATACTTTATTATGTACCTTAATTAATATTAATAATTATAGATGGTGAGTCAGCGATGATTAAATAAGTTGTTGCTGTAATAAGAGACACAATCATTAGCTACAATCATTCCAAGCAAGATCAGAAGCTCAGCAAAACAGAATACTTTCCTCCAGCAATTCTGCCTTGGCTCTTTCTGTTTCTGCTGCAATTAATCATTTCTAAAGCACTTTTATAGGCAAAGTGCTTCACACTCTTTGAGCGCAGCCCTACAATTTTTATGTGGAGGTTAGTCATAGGGGAGATGCATATGAATAACCAGGAGTTGAATCATAGTCTTCATTTCCATATTTTAAAACAATCATCTGGTGAGTTCATTATTCCAGAAAACTATATGAGAAATGACGACTTTTCCAAATCCACTCAGTTATCCTTTGCAATTTTACACGGCTTTAGCCTCTCCCAATAGCTTGATTGACTTAGGCTAATGACAGCTGAGGTCCTTCAGCACAACTTGGAATGGACACTTCTTAAGTGGCTAATTTGGACTTGATTCAGATCCAGTTATTGTGGCTCCACCACTGTCCAGACGATGTTGGGATCCGAAAGGAGCCTGGAGGCTGTCCATCCCTCAGAAAGAACCACATTTTCCCAAATACCTTGCTCAGGGGAAAAGGAAGCTGTTTCATACCAAAAACCCAGTTGAAAATTGGAAATTTCAAACAGTTATCACTGGAAAATAAAGCTTCCAACACTGGACTGTTCTGTCTGGATAATACAAGGCTCCATGCATAGGCTTATTTCAGTAGAAGGGTCCAAGGACCTGTTGCTGTTGAGGTTGACATATCTAGTATAGTGGTTAAGTGCCAGGTTCAGGTCCGCCCCTCAACTATGGAAACTCATTGGATGATTTTGGGCCAGTCACTAGGCTGAGAGACTGGGGATAAAGTGAAGTCCTCATATAAGCTACCTTGAGTTTGGAGTAAGATATCATTCTAACAGTAAATAAATACACATTTATATCTGGTTCTTCTATGACAGCCAGTGTGGTGTAGTGGTTAAGATGCTGGACTAGGAGTGGGAAGACCTAGATTTTAGTCCTCCTTTAGGCACAGAAGCCTGATCAGTGAGCTTGAGCCAATATCTCCCTCTCAGCCCTAATATGTATCAGGCTCTGCAACAAGCTGGCTGAAAAAACTCTTGTATGCATTAGCTGCTTTACTGTGTGAATTAAAGTGAGCACAGTGCAAAACAAGTGGATCTTGCAACCAAGATAGGCAGACATCAGGAACAGCAACATATCCTGCTCATCCAGTATCTTTGCAGGTCTCACACTTATCAATCTCCTTTTCCCCAAAAAATGTGGAAAAGCCCAGTATCAGTTATCTGATAAGACTTGTTTGTACCTCTGGATATTACCTGGTAAAGACACAGCTCAAGTAACAGCCATATTTCCTCTCTCCACCCCTTTGTCTCCTGGATTTGAAGCAGCTTGCTTCATAGAGAGTTCTTGGCCTATGAAAGCTTGTAAGTCTTTGATTGGCCTGATAACATTATTGCCTCTGTGGATTTTGGATTATATTCACATGGCTACTATTGTGTTTTCATGGAGACTTGAGAATAGACAGAGGTGTTCTTGAACATCTGATGCTGTTAATACTAAGAAGTTTCCCTCTCATGTAGGGCATGATGCCTTTATTGACAGTCTTCCTTAATAACCCCACTTTACACTTTATCCCTACTGTCAACTATATTTATATAGTTTACCCCTGGCAGATTGGCCTTTAAATACACTTGTTTCTGGGTTATTACAATGCAGAGTCAAAAGTGGTCAAGCCTAGCTTAGTATTTAAGCAGAACTGCAATAAATTCCTGAACATGGAATAAATCCTCATCTTAGTGCAAACCAGGTGATTAGCCTCAATTAGCACCTAAATCTTTAGATTCTGGAACTCATTTTGTTGTCTCTGGGTCATGGCCCCCTCTCTCTCCCTGTGACTCTCCCTCACCAACATATGCCCATACCTCTTTCACATAGGTAGCTTGGGGCAGCAATATGGCAAAGTACAAGAAAAGAACACTTTTACCTAGTGGTTGTTTTCTTTCTTTCTTTCTTTCTTTCTTTCTTTCTTTCTTTCTTTCTTTCTTTCTTTCTTTCTTTCTGTTAATTTTGCAGAAATTATGTAAGACTTATGAGAGACAGAAATAATACAATACAAAAATAAGAAAATGCCTAGTTGCAGATGTCAGAATGGGATGGCCAGTCCACTGCATCCAATGACTTGGCAGCCTTGACTGGAAGAAGCAATGAAACTTGTGTTTAGTATTCGTTTGAAATTAAAGATAAAGTGAATTCCAGTTGCAAAGATGAGATATGTGTTAGGACACTTTAAGTAAGGCCTCTCTGCCAAGCTGGTAAAAACAAGGATCTTTATTCCCTCAAAATTCCAGCCCTGTTGAAGATTCTCAGCTCCCCAGTTCTCATTTGACTCCTGTCCATCTCTGCTTCTAGCCTTTTGATACTTTGGACTGGACTTCTCAATGTCTTCCCCTTTGGGGCTGGACTTTTCAGGCAGCCTTCCAACTTTGGATCTTCCATGACTGGCATTCCATGCTGCATCTTTTTTGACACATAATACAAAGCAACAACCCTGTGAAAGTCTGTGCCATTCTTAATTCTAATTCATTGTCTTGGTGGGTCTGTGACTTGTAATAAAGAGAAGGAATTCATTGTCCCATTAGCCTCCCAATGACCCTCTCTAGTCTCCAACTCCTATCCTCCTGCTTTTAGAGCTATAGCATTCTAACATGCTATATATAGACAATGTAAGATGGCCAAGAAATATACATAAAACAGCAGCAACCTTTCTTAAATCTAATATTACCATTTTATTTCAGTAACAGAGCTAATCCCTATCAATCAGTATTACTTTGCAGTACCAGGTAGAGAAAGAGCAATGAAGATGATGTATAAAGTTCAAACAGAAGGTAAGGAGTTAAGACATAAGTATATTTCAGGCACAAAGTAGACTCAGAAGGAGAAGTTGTGAACCTCTAGGTGGTGCTTAACTACAACTCTTACATCCCTCATCATTGGCCATGATGATGTATAAAGTTCAAACAGAAGGTAAGGAGTTAAGACATAAGTATATTTCAGGCACAAAGTAGACTCAGAAGGAGAAGTTGTGAACCTCTAGGTGGTGCTTAACTACAACTCTTACATCCCTCATCATTGGCCATGCTGACTAGGACTCCTGGGAATAGTAGTTCAGCAACATCTGAGCTAAAAGGACTGCGTTCTGCATGAACCTAAGAAAGGGTCATACACAAATGTCAGTATACAGACATAGATTTCATTGAATGTGTGTTGGCACAGATCCTGACTACCATAGACCTTCTCACTGGCAAAAAAAGAAAAATGTCTGCAGGGAGCAGAGCTACCATGTGCATTGGGATGTGGCCAGAGGGTACAGTTCTAGTGGGCCCTCCCACGTTCAGGAATAGGTGAGGTAGTCCTGTAAAACCCCCTATGATGAATTCATAGTAGTCCAAGCAGAGAAGATGAAGTTCCCTTTGGCTTTCTACCTTCAATCTGTGGAACAAATGGTGCTATTGCAGCATGCTGCAAGGCAAACAATTGATGGTTCACTGCCTTTGACTGTTTCCTCCTCAGGAGTGTCTTCTAAGATTTCTGCAAGAAAAGATACTAGGAAAAAAGCTTAAGAAGCTATAAATAAAAATTAGCTTGAAATGTGGGATGTAGAAGTGCTTCAGCTAAGAACTTGGGAAAAGAAAAAAAATGCTCACAAATGCAGACAATTAAATGATTAATTTTAAATAAGTCATTGAATAATTTTTTTTTTCTACTTACTTCTTGGTTTCTGTACAGGTCTTGTCTATGTTTTTGAGCATCCTCTCCTGGTGGGAAGGCAGAGAAGAAGGAAAAATGAGATTCTTGATTTTGTGAGAGACATCTTTGCAGAAAGTGTCAAAGATTACATAACTTGCTATAATTTGGTGCTGGCAACACTTCCTGTGGGGAGGGAGAAAGTGTTAACAGCAAACTCCTTCACATCTTCAGGCATAAACCAATGTGGGGCTTTGGGGAATTCTACAACTTTTAAAAGATCTTTTGCTTTAATCTTTGGTGGGGGGGGGGTATACATACACAGAGAGAGAGGTTGAGGGCAGAATAGCCAAAATAGCCCCTTAAGAATAGAGGAGGTAAAATTCTCAATTTCAGGATTGTCACTAGCTGTTTATAAGCAGTAAACACCTGTTACATTTTAATTGCGCTGTCTGCAAGTCACTTTGAAAAAAAGCATGAAAAGACTCTCTCTTCTTTTTGACACAGTGATAGGGTGAGAAGGAAATAAAGAAAAAAGAGTACTTCAATGTGAATTATATATGATCAGAACCAGGCTTTTTTTTTTCTGGGAAACTTTCTTGTGTTCTTCTTTTTTTTAACTTCCCCATCTTTGTTTTTGTTGTGGCCATCAGATCCTCACTCCCATCCCCTAACACACAATGTCATAGAATTATACTGCTTTAAACAACTGTGGAATTTTCTAAATGTGGACTGGATGGATTGATTCTGCAGTCACTGATGAAAACAAAAGCAAAGCAAAACAAACAACAAGCAAAACAAATAAAAAATGAGGAAATAAAGTTGGGGAAGGATAATACTATTGCCACTGTTAATTATGACCCTCCCTCCAGCAGATTTGTCCTTCTAGGGAAATTCAGTGATGTAGCCTTCCCCTTTTTCATCCAAATTTCAGGGGTCATTATGTAAGTATTAAACCTTATCAGTCCCATTCAGACCTCTTTTCCCTTAAGAGCAAAACTGAGTGCAGAAAGTGAATAGAAATCTATTCTTCCTACATGCCAAAGTTTTCTGCTCCCTATCACTAATGTATGGGTGGAAAAATCTGGAAAAACCTATGATTTGTTAAACTAATTTATTTAAATTTATTAGCCACCCAACTTCAGTGGATTTATATTCCTCCTTACCTCCAGGAGTCTGAGATAGTACAACTACTATATCTTTTCCCTCCCACCAACCCACCCCCAAAAACAGCCACCCTGTGAGATTGATTAGGTTAGGAGAGAGAGTGACTGTCACCTAGTGAGCATCCATGGCTGACAGTAGCCTTGAAATAGGGTCCTACTGTTCTTCATCCAACACCTTAACCACTCCAATAGAATATAATATACATAGCTCAGGTTTGAACTGTGGAGTCCTTGGTGCTCTCTGAGCTTGGTTGTTTGCTCACAGACATTTCATTACCCAACTAGGCAACATCATCAGTGCTAGTGAGTGTGGGGTTTGCTCCCTGTTTATATACAGTAGTAGCTTCAGAGAACATGTAGATCCTCTTGTTGCACCTGCCAGCAGCTACTTAAAATAGCTGCCTTCTGTCCCAGGATTGTGTGGCTGCTGCTGTGCAATCCTTTAAAAAGATCTGTTTGGCTCAAGGAATTGCCAGTAGATGCTACATGAATGCCTACACATGCTCTGGGGAGTCTTTTTCCTCTCAAATTCAAAGAAATGCACAGCTGTAATGTATACCAGACTCTCCTCCTCAGACCTTCCCCATGTATTTATAGACAAAGCTGATGTGGGGCAGGATGGATGTGAAAGCAAAAATGAAGCCAAGAAGCACAGCCCCATCTCTTTCTCCATGTGGTTATGAGGAGAACAACTGTAATATATCTTTGCATATGACCTACCCTTCATGTACCTTTTATGATCATTTCACTTAGTTCTGTCAACACTGGAAAGTAATTATTGTTCTGGCTAAAGTCTCCTTACTGTTTGAGGCATTGGCCTATGGAGGAACAAAACCTTCTATCATATTCATTGCTTTCTTTTCTGTTCTTTCTTCTCTACTGAGTCAGCTTGCATCTGCAGCTGTTAGCTATTAAATTTTGCCTCTTGACGCAGCCAGAGAGGATTGCCAGAGTGATATCCAAGGAAGCACAAATAAAAAAATGGAATATTTACAAGAATTAATCTAAAGGTATCCATATGCCAAAAGATGCTACGTGTCACTAGGGGAAGTAGATAAAAGAACCTCATTTTTTTCCCCTCTTCAAAAGTTATGAATGGGTTCTCTCAGGTGAATTAGGTCTGGGTGAGCTATCAGTTCTGCATCACCACTGGGTTCATAGATCTGCTTGTTCAGTCTTTGCTAGAGATGCCAGAAACGTCATTTGAAATAATGTTCATATAGAAGAGGAGTTTGGAATATTGCAGTAATGCACATTCCTATGGTCCAAGGTGTGCGAGATGCTACTGCTTTGACCATTTTTTTTCTGCCAATAGAGTGTTAAATGAGAAAGAGAAAGCAAAAGAGGGACTTCTTTTATTTCAAATAAGCAATTCCATATTTAAACAGGGAAAACTCGGGAGAGTAAAAAATGAAGGAGCTATTTGTTCTCAGGGCCAGAAAGCCGACGGTTCCTCTGTCTTGGATCCCATCTGGATGCCACCTAAAGCCCGGCCACCCTTGGGTGGCAAAAGAGGATCCTGATTTTCTACTCCTTAATACCAAAGACACTATCCATGCGAAGCAGCATGCAAGATGAAGGAGATTCTAAAAAAGACTGACACAAGTAGGGTTGCTGACCAGCCCCTCCAGTAGGGGTTCTGCTCGTGTATCCAGTATGCACTTTTAGTTATGATGAATTATTTAAAGTGTTTCTAGGCTGCTGCTTATTTTAAATCCCTAAACTGCCTACAACAGCTACCACATTAATAGAAACAGGATAAGAGCAGAATAACAACAGAGTAAAAATGAACAAGAACAATCCATTTGGGGGAAGGTGGGAAAACAAACAAGGAAAATTATTGGCAGACTTGTGAATGGCTGGGAAAGCTAACATAAAAATATGACTTGAAAAGCGGCCTGAAACCTATGGAATCAAGTATATCACTGACAGGAGGTCATTCCATTCAACAGTTGCCACCATAGGGATTCTCTAAGCAAAAATGCACATAGGTGTCTTGCACACAATTGGAATATCTCTAGGTTCTAAGGATGATGTGGAAGAATGTTAGAGAATACAGTTCAGAAAACACACGGTACTGTATTCAGTTATAGCAAAGAGGATGTGGGGAGATGGGAGACAACTGAATTACTGTTGCTGGCCCTCTGCTCTCTATCACTAATTTTAGGGGTTGGATCAAGAGGATGTCATTTCCTAGTATCTGATGTCAGCTGGCCTAAATCAAGAAACCTATAGGGTTTTCAGGAAGGTAAGTGCGCAGGATAATTTTTTTAATTATTATTATTTCTTGGCAGAACTAAAGAGAATTTCAGGGATGGTTTCTCCTTCATGTTCTATATGAAAAGATATAGATTTTTTTCTATAGGCCTGTTTGGGAATAGAGGAAAATCATTATGAAGAATATGCTGTATAACATAATGGAGCCCTCAGCAAGAAGAATGAAAAACAACTGAAAGGTAAGCATCCATGCCAGGGAATTACTATGAATAAAAATGGTTTTAAATGTCTTTGCTTTCTGCACAGTTGCTGCCAACATCCTCTGTGGTGTGACAAGAAGTGGATGCAGAAGTAGAGGAGCATAAAGTAATGGCAAAGGCCTTGAATCGAACATTTTTCAAGCAAACATGCAATATCGTATTCTCTCAGGTCCCACCAAAATATTTAAAACTTCTCTGCTTTGGTGTAACATTCTTAATGGCAAAGAACTTTAAATACTAGTGCTATGCAGAAAAAAATCTCTTGCACTTTTTCAGCCAGTCCACATCCCACACTTCAATTAATTTCCCAGCAGAAGACATCACAAGGGAGTTTTCCCCCTTGAGCTTTTTTAGACCAGGAAGTGTGGGCAGCCAAAGAAGCTTCAAAATTAGCACAAGCACCCTCCGGCAATAAAGTAAACTTGAATATCCAATCAAAATAAATTTGAAAGACATTCTCAAGCTTTCTGAAAATACAGTAGGAAAAAAAAAATGAAGTCTGTTTTGTGGGAGAATAACACTTTTGAGAAATAGCAAGACAGACTTTGCCACTGCTTGGCAACCATCCTCTAACACGTTGCTTAAACTTTCCTCCCTGAAACAGTGTGATTGAAAACCCTGACAAATTATTTCCTGTGAGGAGAATTCAGAGCCCTCCTGTCTTCTTCCCCACCCTGACAAATTTTGACATGGAGACTTTAGGAAGAAATGCCTCAATTTTAGCAGGCACATTGCTCACCTCTGTGTTCCTACAAATCTTCAAACCTTTTATGAAACTTCAGGAGAGTTCATATTTTGATTTAGTCTGCTTTGGTTTAGACATCTTCATTGTGGATATGTTGCTGGGGTGATAGGTCCTCCTCCCACAGTCATGTTCTTCCCAAATGGAGGGCTTTGCCAAACTACCAAGAGGCATATTCTTCTCTGGTCATAGTGACATCTCCACCAGCAGGATAATGTTTCTTCTACTTCCACTGGCTAGCAATATGTGTCAGTCAATATGTTCATGATGTGTGAGGCTTTAGATGGTTTGAGATCTTGATATTCGATGGAGTGACCTCCTTGTATACAACTTCCTAAGTATTAAGATCTGCAAGGGACTCAATTTTGTGCTATACATCAAGAAGAATACATTAGCCAGAGAAGTGAGAGAGGATGTGACTATTTCTACAAACTTTTGGGTTATTGTGAATCTAAATAAACTTATTGTAATTTATTATTTTGTTGACCTATTATATTTATTGATTATATTCTGTCCTTGATCTATTGATATAGATCAAGTTTCAGGTATTTTAATAAGAAAAAGAAATAACATTTGCAATATTATTACAAAGGAGAGCTTCAGAAAGAGCACTGCAAAAGGAAGCAGACACCAGGAGAAGGAGGATGGGAATCTGGCTGCCACAAGAACAGAGAGCAGCTCTTATTGGTCCCCCAACTGCTCAGACTAAAGACACAAATATAAGGACAATTATGCTGCTTGCAAGAAATTGTCTTCTTATGCCAGTGTGCTTTCTCCAAAACCTTTCTCTCTCCCTCTGTAGATTAGAGCAGGAATGTCGCTGAAAGAGATGCATAAGGCTCCTTGCTGAGATCTTCACAAGAGGGAAGTCTGAGCTTCAGCAACATGCTGACCTATTTAACAATGGGGATATCCATTTCCAGTGATTTTTTATAGAAAAGCATAGCAGGACGACAGACAGCAGGAATCCAGATAATTGAATTTTCAAACCGCTGTTGTTACTCCATAGCCACATCATTCAGCAGCTGGATACCAACACCGATAATCCAATATCTCTTTCGTGATGCTCAAGTGACATCTTAGTTTTCCTGAGACATTATGGGAAAGCAAGGTTAAAATTTCAGAAGATTCAGTGGGAACATGATTGGTATTTTTTAATGGCCTCCTAGGAGGGACTCACTGATACTCAATAAAGACAAGAAAGAGAAGAATCCCAAGTCCATGCCATTGTGAGAGTCTAATGAAGTGAAACCAGCAAGTTACTCTTCAAGAGATGATACCTCTGAAATTTCTGTCCATACTTTTTTCTCAGAGTGATTGTCAGCCCCTATTTGGCCAAGTACTTGTCCCCATTCTTGCTCAGCTCACCTTGGATTGGCATTGGAGAATCTGCAGGGGCATCTCCCTCACACCCATTCACCTCATCATTCACAATGTTGATTATTTCAGTATAAAGCATGTCATTCTGTAAAGTTACTTCATTGGTAAAATAATGAATAAAACAATAGATCACAATGCATTCTATTTTTAAAGCAACAGTGTTCGCTTGCTGCCTTGAGCTCTTGAACAAAAGGCAGAATCAATAAATATAAATAATCAGTAAATAAAATCCAGTGAAACACACCATGAAATAGTATACAGATCACAAAAATCTTACTAAGAAGTTAAGCCATGGTGGCTGTTTACTGGTATCACCCTAAGTCCTTACCTAATCAGCTTTATTGTTCCAGAAAGGCCATACATACTGTAAGGGTTGTGTGGCAACTAGGAGCAAACCCTGATAGGCAAGAAGGTAGATCTGATGTCTTTACTGGGGTCTGCCAGAAAGGCTGTTTGGCCTCAGACTCAACTTCAAAATGGGCCTTAGACTTGGACACTTGCTATTTTAATCAGCAAAGAGTAAGACAATCTATAGATAAAGTCTCAACTTATGTCTCAGTCTTTGGGGTTTGTGTGTTTGGGGTTTTATTTTTTGTCGTCATGTTTTAAAGGTGTATGTTGGCTATTGGGTCTCAAATGAGGATGAGGATGAGGATGAGGATGATTTCAATTTATATGGCCGCCCATCTCAAATTCATGATTCTGGGCAGCTAACAACAGTTACAGAAACACATAACTATCAAAACAACATACACAGAAGCTGGGTAAAAAGAAACAGAACCAACAATGACCAATCAACATAACCATTGCACAGGCAATGCTACTCCTCTGGATCCCCAAGCCCAGTGACAAAAGCATGTCTTTAAGGCCTTGCAAAAGGCCCACAGAGTCAGGACTAATCTAACATCTGGAGGAGGATGTTCCAAAGGGTGGGTGCCATGACATAAGAGGCTTTCAAGAAGACATTCCCTAACAGACAGCGCCTGGAGCCTGCCTCTCCTGACAAACCTAAAGGGATGGGTAGACATAATTGGGGAGAGATGGTCCCTCAAATAAATTCAAGAACAGTTCCTCTCTGGAACCCCAAGATGTGCTATCCTATTCACTGAAATCAAACTAATAGGGATTGCCCTTCTGTAGATCTCAAAAATTAAATGCATCTCCTTCCTGACTAAGGCTACCCTCTCAATCAAGTCATTCCTATGAGAAACCTGAAGTTGCCAATTTAGCAACTTAGTGGAAAATGCAGACCAATCTGTGACACTGTGCACTATAGGGCCTCTCTTGTTCTGAGAACCTCTGTCTGGTGAAGTTTTGTGATGCTGAATCAAATAGTAATGCCAAATCTAATCAAGATACTATGAGTCTAAAGAAAGGTTGATGTTCATTCTAGAGCAGTGTTTCTCAACCTTGGCCGCTTTAAGCTGTGTGGACTTCAACTCCTAGAATTCCCCAGCCCCCCACCCCGCCCCCGGGGGGCGAGGGGTGTAGGTGCCGCCAACCCCCCTCCAGCGGAGAGCGAAGAAAAAAACCCTTTGGCAGACATATAACA